GGTTGGATCTTAACAAGGTTCCAAGTAGAGCTTTCAACATGCAACCAGAAGAAATGGGAGTGTTTATTGAAAACAACACTTAAACTGAAACAGGCTGTTTTACAACTGATCCAAAGTTTAGGACCACACCTCCCAAAAAAAACCAACCTGTGATCCCCCCACACACACACACACACACACACAACAAAAATCCAAGTTCCAGCGGGCATTGTGTACTGTAGCGCTGTCCTGTTGAAAACCCAGTGGTTACCACACAGACGAGGGCCCTCAGTCATGAGGGATGCTCTCTGCATCATCTGGACATAGCCAGCAGCCGTTTGACGCCCCTGCACCTCCTGAAGCTCCGTTGTTCCACTGAAGGAAAAATCAATCCAGAAGAGCTCAACCAATGCCGAACTGCTGTGCTTCAACAGGAACATGTGATTGGTTTCCATATTATGGGCCCCAGTGCTGGAGATATCCTCCAGGGTTTTGTGGCAGCAGTGAAATGTTGTCTCACCAAAGAACAACTAGATACTGCTGTGAGCAGCCACCCCGATCAGCCCAGGTCAGTATTTTTCCACAATATTTTAAAAACCGTTTAGAAAGAACAACTTAATCTGGACGCTATTAAGGCACCAAATGACAAACTGCTGCTTCTGACACCTGCTAATAATTTTTCTTAATAATTTTTGTTATTAATCCTCTGTCTTCTGCTTGATGTGCTGTTACACTTGGTTTTGAAGAGCTGTGCTGAGAGCTCACTTTGGAGATATTACAGTGTTCATGCCCTAGAAAAGCTCTGCTGTTTGGGGTCATTGCCACAGCAGCACATTTAAATGAGTCTCCCACTTTGGATGCAGCCAGTCTGAATTATTCATAGACAATATTTAATTAAAAAACAAAAACCTGTCACTCAAGGCAGCAGAGATTGACCCCACAGTACATGAGCCCGTAATAGTTGACATTTTCAAAAGTTAATTAATAAGACATTCAATGAAGTGGTAAATAGAGGTCACTGAGTCCGCCAGTGTCAGCTAAGACGAGGTTCGGGGAGTGATGGCTAACTACATATCACCTTGTGGACTACGGATTGATTGCTCTGCTGTAATTACTGAATGTGACTGTGTGTAATGTGAAATGTGTCACAGTGATGAACCAGTAGTAATTATGATTCGACGCAGACGTCTGTCTGTCTGAAAATGAGCCAAAACAGCTCAGTTTATTTTATACACAGGCCGAAGGTTATGTTGTAGGCTTAGATTCCATCTAAATGAGATGACATCATTGGTCTTTGCAAAAAGTGTGTTGTTGCAAAGACAAAGTGAAACATTTTCTCACTTTTATGGATTTTGCAGTGGAGTGGTGCTCACCGCTTTGACCCAGACACAACGTCTGTCTGAGGCCTTGATGCTGAGAGGAAACTGCTGAGGTTAGCTCCCCTGCTGCGCGTCACCGTCTCTTACTGCAACAGGACAGCAGGCACACGTTTGTGACCAGCTGATTAGTGGAGGTGGCAGAAAGGCTGGATGATCCTCGAGTGATGTTTTCACCTGAACCCTGACAGACAGGCGGGTGACGACTGTTAGTCTGCTGCTAACACACTCTCTCTTTTTGTGCGTCTTTTTTCTGTTTGTTTGCTTTTTTTTATGAACTGGTTGCTTTGAGTATAACTTTAAAATATAAAGTCCCACTGAAGCATTTTTTTTTGCTTCGTTGCTTCAGGGAAGATAAGATGCTCCCTAAGGTTCTGCCTTTGAAAGCCTCTGTAAGCTTAAATTTAGTAGAATATTTTAAAGGCTGCAACATAGTGATAAGACTGGGATTTGCTGCATTTACATGGAGTAAAAGCTCTGGCTTATACTCTGTGTTTTTATTGCCTGGTACGAGCCTCGGGGGTTTTACAGACTTAATTTCATGTAATGAACTAGACGGAAGATTATGGAATTATCTAAATTAATGGTATTCTTGGTGGAAGCTAATGCTATAGCCTTTAGAGTTCCCTATTTTTACTCTTATATTCCAACTCAGCATCACAGAGCACAACATCTGCTTTAAAGCAACGGCTGAATCTTGGTGCAGGTCATTGAGTGAAGCACATAAAGTATCTCTCTGAAGAGTTCTTTCATCCCTCATCACCTCAGGTCTGCACTCTTCATTTCGATTACATTTTTAAAAAAAAGTACCTCTGTGAGCTCACAGCATGGACGTGTCCCGTGCAAGGGCATCATTTTCATTATCTTGGTGAGTTGCAGCCTGTCTCGAGTGCACAGGTTAAACATCCACTCCATGTTGTTGCACTCTATGATCATTGATGGGGTGGCTGTGGCTCAGGTGGTAGAGCAAATCAGCTACTGATCGGAAAGTCGGTGGTTCGATCCTTGGCTTCCCCAGTCTGCATATCAAGTATCCTTGGGTAAGATACTAACCCCAAATTGCCCTCTGATGCGTTCATCGGAGCGTGGATGAATGTGAATGCAGGTTAGTTTGCACTTGTGTATAGACGTGCTGGTATGAGTGGTTGTATAGAGCGCTTTGAGTACTCCGGGAGAGTAGAAAAGCACTATATAAGAATCAGTCCATTTACCATTGATGCTGAGTGATTAGATGCAGATTTTCTATTGCTATCCCCCTGACCACCTTCTGACTGCCTCTGTGACAGACCTGCCTGCAAAAGATAGATACCCTCATTAGAACAAGTGCACAGGACTGCCTCTTTCTGGCGTGTGCTTGAAAATGCAATTAGAGCATAATTTGATCAAAGCAAAGCAGCTTCTATGACTTTGTGCAGGTCTCACAGCAAGGTGGAGATGCCATGTAGGACTCTATTTATCACCGGCCTCTTGGTTTGGACTTGGTTTAAAGGTTTTGCCTGACCTTCTTACAGTATGCTCTTACTCCACTAGGTGGGACTGTAGCTGAATGAAGTGAATGAAGCAGCTCTGCTTGCATTTAAGTCACAAACTGAAAAGCTGTACTGGTTGATTTCATGAGAAGCACAAGTCCTCATATTATCAGCTAATGTAATTAATATATGAAACAGCGTTATATTGCTAATACAGATCTATTCATGTGTATAAGCAGTAGTTTAGCTTTGTATTGTACAGTTATTTCATTTTTAACCTTAATTTATATTTTATTCCTTCCTAGTTAAATTTACCCTTTTTAATTTTTCATATTTATTTCCTATCTTATTCATAGCCTTTTCCTTTTTTGTTCTCTTTAGGTCACGAGCAGTTGTCCAAGCATTTCACTACATATCGTACTGTGTATGACTGTGTACGTGACAAATAAAATTTGAATTTGAATTTGAATTTGAATTTGAATTTGAATTTGTAGCTCTTCAAGGTGGAGCCAGCTCTAATTCCACTGCACACAGCTCAGTAGTTTAGTCCAATGGTTTCCAGCCCATGGAGCCCAGGAACCTCCAAAGGGTCACAGGATGAAGCTGCTGTAACATGATGAAGAGGGCAGAGTGAAGAGTAAAAGCACATCTGTGTGCTCAGATCCATCTTTTTTCTTTGCTTTGTGAAATACTCGATCATTGAAGCCTAAAACAATCATTTACAGTGCTTCTAGTTCTCTGTCAGAAAAACAAATCAATCAGCTGAGACATGACAAAACAAACTACACACTTTGAATGCTGAATGACTGTTTTTGGATTTTTGTTATGTTTGTTCGAGCTGTTTCACATTTTGTGTTGTTATCACTGGTTCCTGTCTAACTGGTTTGCCCAGTTTCACAGTTATACATTTGATCCTTTATTCACCCGCAGGCATATGTACTCCACACATTGCTCTTGTTCTTGTCATGTTTGGCATTTTTTGGACTGTTTAAAGGCTCCTGTGTGCTCCTCTTGTGCTTCTTTGGCACACTGTTTTCGTAAGATAGTTGCGTGTTTTAACCAAATAATTTTTATTTTGGACATTAACTCATTTGGTCCTTCTCCCTCTGAGTCATTATAGTTTTAGCCATCCAACGGCAATAGTGGAGGAAATACTCACATCTTCTGCTAAGTAAAGGTAGCAATACAATGTAAAAATAGTGGACTATAATATAAAGTAGGTCCTGCATTCGCAGCCTGTTTTAACTAAATGTATGCAAATCTTGTCAGCAAAATGTACTTGAGTAGCAATAAAAGTAAAAGATATTCACTGCAAACCAAGGTGGACCAATGTTGATGGATTTCTGCAAGACAATGCACTTGTATTTAAAAATTAGACATGACTGAAGAATAACTAATATTCTTGTTATTCTGGTGGACCTGGATGGGTCAGAGCCTTGTGCTATGATAGGCGATAGCACTAGATTCACTTTTTTGAGGCTTCGCTTTCTGTGTTTCATTTCATTTCTTATATTATTAAAGTTTTAAAATCCTAATGTGCTGTAAAGTAACAAAACTATAGTGTTCAGAGTTAGAACACTTACCTCTGCACTAATCAGACGTCAAAGTGAAAAGCAGCATAAAATGAAAAGTATACTGAACTGTAATAAAGTGTACTTGGTTACGGTGCACCACTGCAGTATAGTCGACTCAAATGTAAGCTGACGTTGTGGATGTTCAAAGGAAGTTAAAACGACTAGATGCTGTTGACTTAATTTTATGTTATGCATTTCGGAAGGAAGCACTGTACTTTTTAAACCCACAATACATCTATTTAACTAATACAGACAGTTAAGAACTGACACCCAAAGCACGCCATCGGGGTATAGGCCCAATACACAATGTTGCAAACGTTTAATCTATATCGATCTCTGTTGAGACTGGTGATATTTTTATACTTTGTTCTTATTTTAAAAGTTTCCTTGTGTTGGTCATACAGCCACGACAGACACGGCGCCATAACAACAAACAGCAGCTTGGAATTATGCTCATAAATTCAAGTGCACACGTGGACGCGCTCATTCGCTCCGAGGACGAACCACCCCTCTTTTAGCCCAGAAGTGGTACGCTCCATGTTGGATGTGTTCAGCTCATTGACCGGCGGACAATCCTCATCAGTACCGCCAGAGCCCCGGAGCCTCCGACAGACCGGCCCTTCATTCCCGCACAAAGCGCGCGGCATCCTCCAGCCTCTCCGTCCCGCCATGAAACAGACTCTGAGCGAACTGATGAGGATGAGCAGAATATGCCGGATGATATTTGCCACTTGTTTGGGATCCTTTATTCTGGTCATCTTTTATTTCCAAAGTATGTTTCAACCAGGTAGGATCTCGCTGCTCTTTCTCTCGGGTGTGTGAGTGCGTGTTGATGAATTGCATCCTGCCTGGTAACCTCCTGGCGCGCCGACACATCGATTTGTTCTGGCTGTACAGTAATGCGCCCGATAAATAATTGATACTTGCGCGATGTAAAGGCGTAAATCAACCAGAGTGAGTACGGTGGTTTAAATCGATCTTCCACGTGAGACCGGTCGCCTTGTTGCGCGTTCCGGCGTTTGCTGAGCTGCTCTTTTTTGGTTGAAGTGTTTCTTGGTTTGTGTGTATGTGTGAGTAACCTGGGGCTGGCCACTCGCTTCCCTTCAGCTGACAAGTGGCATGGTGGCAGTAGCGGTGGGGGGGCTTTTTGTCTTCACAAACGCGGCTTGGCGATAGGAACTGGTGTACGGGGCAGCACTTAGGTCTGGCACGCAGCGTGGGCTGTGGCATTATGCTCAAACCCTCCCCAGTGGTTCTCGCTGTCAGGAGAACAAGGAGTTACTTTCATGTGGAATCCATATCTAAAACGGAACTGTCTCTGGGGAGCGTTTAGGACGCGTGTCCTGTCTGGAGACCAGCAGGTAGTAATTTCTTGCACAAGAAAAGAGCTCCTCTCCATCTCAGCGGGGGCTCGGTGATAGAATTTGCATCTAATTATGTTAAATTATGTAATCTGATCTATTGCTTTGCCAAATCTCCGCTGTCTGGATGGATGGAAGGGCTGTACAGCAGCGTCTCTGTGCGCCGAAATCACACAAGTCTGCGCGTCAAGCACAGGCGCAGCGACTATTCAGGCTCAGGGCTGCCGACCTGCTGCACAACAGGTCTACTAAAGCTCTGAACGGACGAGCATACTTTCGGAGTATTTGCTTTCTCTTAATAAACTGAAGCACCAGACATTTAAATCCCAGAAAAGTCCCGGTGTCTGCGCGGCTCAGCGGCTCATTTCAGATTGACTGGATCAGGCTACGATACTTAAGGTTATAATAAACATATAAAATATCTACAGGGGTTTAATGCCACCATGTCCACTGGTGAGATCGTGTAGAGACGTGGATCGGTGCGCAGGTAATGATTTGGAGACATCGCTGCTCTGTGTGGGTAATGGGGCTGCGATGAAACATGAGATAAACAGAGAAAGGCTAATATCATCCATGGGAATATGAAACTGAACTGACCTGCTGTTTTTTCTGTACACACACTGCCACTGTGTGAGTCACCAGTGCAGGTGCTGCTGCCATAGATGGACCATCATTTCTATTTCTAATCTGCTCAGAAATATTACCACAATACACGTGTTCTGTGTATTAGTAAGTCACTGGGCTTGTTATCCTTGAGAGTTTGATATCTTTTGTCACTGATTTAAAGTGTCTTTTTCAAGGATAACCTGACAAAGATGGCACCAGGTGACATTTTTAAACATAAGGAAAAAACACAAATACAAGTAAACACAGCAGTCAGACTATATGACATAACACATTAGACACACAACTGTTTCAAACGAATTTCATGCACCATTCACACCGACAAAGAGTTCTTTTAACATTTACATTAAGTCATCCACAATAACCAGTTGTGGCAACGCATCCAGTCCAGTAAGGCTAAATGCCAGTTTCGTTACTTAGAAGGAGAAAATACATTTTATTTAGGCCTCTGTGATAACTTCTGATCTATAATTATGTCTAAATACTACTAAATATTTGTCAACAATTCTATTTCAACCCCTTGACCACACTGTAAAAACAAATCTTAATATAAAAGTATTTTACTGTGTGTTTTACAGTTTTGTACTGTTCTTCTAGAATATCATTAAATTTACATCAATAGACTGATTTCACATTTCAAACGTAAATTAACGTAAAATCACAGTAAATGTCCATCCATCCATCTTCATCTGCTTTATCCGGGGCCGGGTCGCGGGGGCAGCAGCCTAACCACCTCAGCTGGCTCCTGAGGTGGTTCGGGCACTGTAAATGTAATAAAACATAATTTCCTTGTTTTTTAAATGTATCTGTCTGTACATGAGCATATTTAGATTGTTAAAATAATTCACAAATGCATCATAATTTCACAAATATCTGTCCGTTATTTGAAAGATTGAACTGTTAAATTCAAATGTGATGCTATGGAAAAATATATAAAATGATTCGTATAAACTTTTTTTTACATCAAATAATAATAATAATTTTTGTTATTTAGGGCGATCATGGCTCAAGAGTTGGCAGTTCGCCTTGTAATCAGAAGGTTGCCGGTTCGATCCCCGGCTCGGGCACTCGGTCGTTGTGTCCTTGGGCAAGACGCTTCACCTACAGGTGGTGGTCGGAGGAGAATTATAAAGTGGAATTGTAAAGCGCTTTGAGGGTCTCAAAGAGCGCGATATGAATGCAATCCATTATTATTTAAACTAACTGTATATTTCTGTACATTTAAGTATTATGATTCATATTGCCGCATTCATTGACCTTGTTTATAGGTAATTTCATTGTTTAATCACATTAAAATGTTCCTAATTTAATGTTTAAAAGCACTTGAAAAAGGCAAAATTCCATGTAAAATTAGGGCAACAAATTGTATTTTCATTACTGGAAATAACCGTATTTTCATGAGTAAGTTATTTTCTGTTATTTTACGGTAGTATTTTGGCGCCCCAGCTGCCAGAATATTACTGTTTTTTTAAGATGTTTTTTCTAACAGTGCAGTTTTGTTCTTAGAAAGAGCAGAGACTGTGTAAAAATGTGTTGTATATAAAACTGGTCCAACTTTAGTCTGCTGGTTACTGTGACACTGAGCTCTGCTTAGTTATGATGATTTCTTATTTTCATCCAAATTGAAATTAAGCAAAGCAGTTGTTGGTCATAGCTTTATAGTTAGGAAGGAGTCACACATGGAATAAAATGCAAAGATTAAATTCTACTCAAAAAATAATGCAACAGTTATGACAATGATGATGATAAAATGATGAAATGATGTCTTTATTAGGGATGGGTATCGTTTAGGTTTTATCCGATACCAGTACCAAACCGGTACTTTTGAAACGGTGCATAAACAGTGCTCGAACCAGTGCTTAAAGAATGGAAAACACAAAATTGGTCCAAAAACCTCTCATGTTCAGCTGTTTTTTTTGTAAAAAGTTAACAAGTTAACATCACATTGACCTGTCTCTGTATTGTATGTACGGGTCTGTCATCTCGGTTGTGGGCAAAAGACCTGCAACTGACAAATAAAGGATCATCTCATCTCATCTTTTCTGCAGCTATGGGACATATATGGCATCACTCTTGGCTGGAAGCAGTGCTTAAACAATGGAAAAAAAACAAACTTTGTCCTAAACCTCTCATGTTCAGCTGTTTCCCGCTTTTTCTTTGGTCATTTTAGCCTTTGTGGCCAGGGTGAAGGGAGTATCTGCCATCAAACAAGAAGACAGCCGCATGTAGCTATGATGATGTTTGCTAGTTCACCTTACATGCATTAATGTAATAACGTGGTTAGCCTACTCAACGTAAATTACACACGAACAACATTAAGCTACTCACGCAGAGAAGAACGGCTGCTGCTGCATCATCATCCTCATCATTTCTGCTACACTGGCAGGGCTAGGGGCCAGGACTCTCCTCTTCGGGTTCTTGGGGGATGTTGCTCCGGGTCCGATAACAGGCACCACACCCGCAGTAGATGTGCTCGGTGTGAGGTCTCGCAGCAAGCTATCAAATACGGCGCATTTCTGGGCTTTTAAAAAAAACGCTATGCGTCGCCAGGTGTTTCATCGGATTCGAGGTGTTACCTCCTTTGACAGCATCACAGTATCAGCTTAAAGCACTTGTTGCTGCTGAGTTTGCATCTTTTGCTGTGAAGTACAGCCAGACTTTGACCGCTTCACCTTGGGCATTTTTAATCTGTAGCTCTGCTCTAAAAGAATGTACGTACCTGGGCCCGCCTACTACGCTCGCAAAGGTAAAATGATTGGCTAGAATCCAAAGTGTCTGACATCTCAGGAAAATAAAGCACCGAAATAAAGCACCAAAATGTGCGCTGCTTTTCGGTCTGGTTACTACCGTTTATGTCAGAACCGGTGCCACAATGGCACTGGATACCCATCCCTAGTCTTTATAAGATGTTGGGCTGTTTGGTGCTGCCAGAAGAAGCTCAAAGAGCCTTGGCTTGATTCTGCACGTCTCTATAGAAAGAGATACCGAGGGGCTGAAACACCAATTACTCCACATGATTTTCAGGTTTTAGATAATGATGGTGAGAAACAAAAATTATAGTAAAATAATTGCTGTATTGCCCAGTTTTCTGTGCAACTCCAACTTTTATAGGTCAAATTAAAAGTAGTTTGCAGTGTTGTGCAAAGGTGCATGCACACTGACTCTGGATACAGATGCTCATGTTGAAAACTCAAGTGAAAGCTCTGGTGTACTGGGTAGCAGCAGAGCTGTACTGCCTGGCTCCAAGTGAGAGTCAAATTTTTGTTAATATGGGTGAACTGACCCTTTAATCGTCTTGATGCACGCTCAATCATCCAGGTTAGTAAATCCCAGAAAGGTTGATTCTGTTGATCTGGATGTAGAGTTTCCAGTCAGTTACTTCAGTCTCAACTAGACTTTGTGACCCTTTATGCATTTAAAATGTCTTCTTAAGACGCCCTGTTTGCGAAGATCCTGGTAGAATCATAAGATTTATTTAAAAATTACGTAACTGTAACCTGCTGCAGGAACACTGTACAGAGAGAGACCTCTTGTCTGTGTGTCATTAAAGGAGCTTCCAGGGCAGGAAGTGATTGTAATAGTTGAACCGAGCCTCCATAAAACTGTTCTCAAGGACCCCGGCATCATGCTCCAAGAGTTGTGCCAATCGCCACAGATGTTGCATCAGCTTCTGCTCAACACACACACACGCACACACGCACACATGCACACACACACATGCACACACACACAGAGAAATATACAGATTACAAAGTGGATATTTGATGTCGTCATGGCAATGACATGGTCTGGATGCTGTGAT